AAGAAATATTATATAAAGATCCAAATTTGATATAATATTCAGAAATATTTTTTTGAAACGTACCGCTCACATTGATTATCGTGATGTCAGCTTGTATATATAAAATCGCGATAATCGAATTTTATTAAATCATCAGTTTGTTTTGACTTTTTTGTACGTTATCGACATGTGACATGAACATGAACCAATTTAATATATTGAATATGAAGTTTTTCTTTTCTTTCTATTCACATCTTTCTCGTTCTATGAACGTGTCGAATGTTTACACTCGAGCGAGTCTAGGTCAGGAACGTTGATGACGACAGCTACCAACATCTGACCTTAGGTCTAATTTTAAAATTCTCATAGAAGGTGATGTATGCAGGCGAATTATTAAAAACTATTTTTATTATTTCCTTATCTTGCATGAAAATATACCGGTAAATTTCTATAAAATTCTGGGAGAGACAACACTCGTAGTACTAACGTAATTGAACACAAACTAACTAAAGCATCGTTTTTACTTAAATTAATTCCTTTTTTGAAAACAAAATTTTTTAAATATATAAATTTATTAATAAATATCTGTAGAAAATGTTTACATATTTAATAAAATATATAACATAAATCTTTTGAAAAAATAACGACAAAATACAAATGAATATTAGGAATCAGCGCTGGATATTATATTGTGCAATGCTAACTAATACCTATTAATATGTCATAAATTCAATTTTATATGTTTTGGCTCACTATTTGAGCCATTCTCAGCAATAAAAAATTACCGCTTATCGCACTATAAAATCTGTCGAACTGGGTTTCGCACAATCGTAATTTCGACCTCCAATAATGCAGCACAGTGGAAATGTGGTGAGAGACAACCATCTTCAATATAGTTTAATGTTATGCCAACCAGTTGCTTAGTTAAGTGGAGCAGATAGTGAAACTCAAGCCCATCTCCAACAATGGATGCGGATTCAAGCATCGTCAATCCATAACAACAAATTTAAAAATCAAAGTTAGATTAAAAAATAATTTAAATAACATAAAAGAGAGTCATGTTCATTCTAATGTTAGTCACATAATATGACATAGTCACATAACTGACATGTTGAAGATGATTGTCTCTCACCACATTTTCACTGCGACTGCATTATTGGAGGTCGGAACTACGATTGTGCGAGACGCAGTTCGACAGATTTTATAATACGATAAGCGATAACCTTTTTTTGCTGAGAATGGCTCAAATATTGAGCCAAAATGTACAAAATTAAATTTGTGACATGTTAATATAGGTATTAGTTAATAATATAATTGCGCAATATGTAATATCCAGTGCTGACTCCTAATGTCTATTTGTATATTTTACCATTATTTTTTCATTGTATTAATTTAAGGAGTCTATAAATGTTGTATATTTCCTTACTTGAATTTGTTTATAAATTTTTTGTTTATTTGATGTTACATAAAGAAAAAACATTTAAAAATTATTTAATTATATTAAAAGAAATATAATACAATTTCTATATGTATTAATATATTTTTATATTTTCAAATCAATATAATTCGTATTTAGCATATAGAGATAATAAAAAAACAATATAAAATAAAAATCATCATAAAAATTAAACAATATTTTGTAAGATACACGTTACACCTTATTTTGTGATACTGATTATATAGGTTTTTGGGTTACATAACATGCATACATAATGTCTTATTTATTCTTTCAGTACAATCACCTGCAAAACAGATATGTTTATATCAATTAAGCAAGAGAAATGTTAATTACGGTCAAAATTAGATGTTGAAATTATATTTCTATATGTATTTTAAATATATTTATTTCAGACATATGCGTCAATTACTTTCAGACTTGCAACACAATAAAAAATAATAATCTCACAAATTAAATATTTGATCAATTTGATACTACTAGCAGATATGTTTAACAGATATATATTTGTCAAACAAAATTTATATTAAATAAAAATGTTTCTGTTCTAATGGTATTTTACAATATAATTTTGCTTCGAACAAAACGGTTTTTAAAAATAATATTTCGATTTTTTTAGTAACATTTTTTTATATAAAAAAATCAAAAAATAATGAATAAAAGTTTCACATTTTATTCTGAAACAATTCTGACTGTTATAAGATATATTTATATTATACTTGCTTTTTAAACATATTTCTATCATATGTATACATATAATATTGTTGCGCTTATTAGTTACACGTGCACTACTCGTAGTATATTTATGAATATGAAAATCTCATGTCACTGGTATAAAATAATAAAGAACACCGACTTAAATTCGACACAAATTTTAATAAACAATATTAACTTTTACAATTGATTATAATAATTGCAGAACCAATCGCAAAACATACACATAAAAGTACGACTCATTCGAAATTCTCATATTTACAAATCGACAATTTATTTTCCGAGAAATCGGTCTTCATTTGTCGTTGTTTTCCCAAAGTATTGATTTTCCGTACAGTTTACCCTACTAGAATTAAAATAAACTCTACTTTTGAAACAAAATAAATATTTACAGTTTAGTTCGGCGTATATTGCGAGCACAATATTCTCGTGCTGTAATAACATTTACGCAGTCTTCATTTTGTTTAGATATATTAGTATTGGGGTATATTGTATCAAATAACTAAATTGATATATTATATCTTAAATAAATATTATAAATAAATAAAGTATAATAAAAATTTGAAAAAAATTTTATTTCTGACGTTAATTCTTGTAATGACTACCTATTTAATGCAAAATTGATATATATTCGATGATTTATTTTGTATCTATTATGAATCATATTACATTTTTTGTCATACATATAATATCTTTTGTAGTAAATGTAGAACATCATGTCCATAAGAATTGTATAGGTATATTCTTAGGAACTATCAATAAGAAATTATTTTTATATTTAAGTTATATCTTATTGCGACCCGTCAAGTTTTTAATATTTGCAAGATTAAAAATCAATATATTTTAAATATTATAAATTAAATGATTTAAATTGATTAGATGTAAACAATTTTTTTATTAGATATTTCTTTATACGTATATATGTAAATTACATGCACGCAGACTCGCACGTATATATACGCGCGCACGCACAATGTTATGTATGTATAATTTATATATATAAATTGTTGCAATATTATTATATCGTGTTATATTTTATATTTATATTGCATCTATTTTCAGTTTCCACTCTGTCCAATTCTGATTCAATCTCTTCTGTGGAAAGAATCAGTTCTTATCTCACAGAAATTGAGGTAATTATACTTTTACTATAATCATGTTTTTTGTGATTTTAATTTAAATTTATGGCTTTATAAGATATTTTTTTAATCAATAGCATGATTCTCCATGCCTAACTATCGTAAAATTAATTAATAAATTTGAAACTATAATCAAGGCAGCTTAAAGTATAATGCTTATCAAAATATCATATGTGGGAAAAAAGAGATGGAAAGAACGGGAAGAAAAAGAGGAAAAGGAAGGAAGAAAAAGAAGACTATGGCTTTAAATCAATTTCACCATAATATGTATTATATAGATGAACACATAGATTTAAAAATGTTCAGATGTAATTAAAAAATATTTTTTTAATTATTTTTTCAAAAAATTCAAGAAAAAGAGTAGTTTATCGAAAATCCTGCTAAAAGTAATAAATTATTCTATAATGCACGTTTCATTGTAATATAATAATAAATTAATCATTTGCAAAATTTTTTATTTAGTTTAAAATTTTTATTTTAACTTGAAATTAAATTTAAAAATTAAAAAAGTTAAATTTTAAAATGTTACGTACAACTTAAAAAATTAAGATGTATTTTATTACACAAGAATAAATTGAGAGGAAAATATTAAACTGATATCAAATTGATATTAATATTTTTCGATGTTTTAATATATATGTTACAATTTCAAGAATATTTTACAATTTTATCGTTTATTCTAGATTTTTCTTCAAAAGTAATTATAGTTGCTCCAAATTAAAAATAAAGAATTGTTTTTATTATAAAATTAATTCTTGTTGATATATTAACATGTTTTAATATTAAAAATATTACATAATGTAAATGAAAAATGCAATATAGTTGTATGTTTTATTTGAGTTTGTATTTGTAAATATTTGTAAATATATATTTTGATATAATTGTAAAATCTATATTTATACATGTGTAAATATCTATTTGTAAATATAGTAAAAAAATTTCTGTATGTGTATAATAACATAATACATAACACGCACAAAGTGTCTGATTATTAAATGTAACGCCTTTCGTGAGCAGACAGAACTTACACTAAATAGAAAAATCTTCTATCATTTTGTGATTTTCGCAATAATTACTGAAAATTGATTAGTAACAATCTATAAACATGTATCAGCAACAAAGAATATGTTATGTACCATTTACGATAGACGCGCGCTCTCCTCCCATCTTGTCCCGCGTTTTACTCGTTGCTGAATCATGTAAATGCACACTCGTTCGCAGATCTTGATTAATTAATTTTTTATTGCGACAATCGTAAAATCGATACAGAATTTTTTAATTCAATTTAATTCGTTCTATCTATCCAAGAAAGGCGAGTTACTTACTAGATGCCTTGTAAATGCATGTAAATGAGATTATATAAAGATTATATAAAAATTTACAAATCAAAGTATTTTAGTTTTAACGCCGATTACAATATTGCAGCAAATAAATGTTTGAGATGAATTATAAAATAGAAATATCAAGTGATGTATACACATATCCGTATTCTTTTTTTAGTGTGCAACAATTGTATTGTTAACTTTAATATTAATATCCGTTAAACAATGTGCATTCATTGCATTTATAACTGCTATTATATTTTTTTTTAATTAGACGCAAATAATTTTTTTTTTAACACATTTAAATTTCGCAGTACATATACATAAATTACACTTATAATAAATTATGACACATGCCGATTTTTTATAAACAGTCGTGTCTAATCTCACCTCTTCCGCTTGAACGTTTTTCACTCTCTTCACGATTTCGCTTGCTTTAATGAGCTCAATTTCTGCATCTTCCACCTGCGAGGGTCGTCGCTCCTGCATATCCGTGGCCAGTTCCTGATAACAGGATTCTCCGGAGCCGCGTCGACTGCCTGCAATACACATAGCCCGGCGGAACAGACCAGCGACGACGGCGCACAGACCGCATTGCATCTCTGTGGTGCTGCCCCGGCTGGAGAGCGACCCACCATTGGCTCGGCGGCGGGTCCGAGACCCACGGGAGCCGCTGTCACGTGCTTGGGTCGCCAGTTTCGTGTATCTGCCGCTGCTCTCGCACTTTTTCTACTTTACTTCGCCAAATCCTTTCTTCATCTCCTCTTCATATGTTTCTTCCTCGCGTCATTGCGTCCCCTCCGAAGCACGCTTTTCTACGCACACTTTTGTACTCCCAATTCTCGTCAAACTCGTACTTGTCAATGCCTATTGCATCTATTTTTTTTTACTCCACAAAAATTTGCACTCTCAACACAACGCTACGATGGCAGCGCGTGTCATCTACGCGATGCAATTGATGCAAAGATCATAGAAGATTGGACAGTAACTCGAGAAATTGCGAATGCTACAGGAAGCGAGAAATAAAAAAAAAGAAAAAAGAGTAGAGTATAATATATCACACTTGGAGCCCAAAGCTTTTTTAGAATATTTTAAGTCTTAAATGTAATATTAGAGGAATCGGAAAGAGAGAGAGAATAAAGCTATTTTTGTATATAATAACATAATGCATCTTAACATTAGAAGTATCAATCATTTTTTACTATGTCTATTTTTTAGATTAATCTTATATTTTTGTGTAAAACATGGAATTCTGAAATTATTTGACTTTTAAAATATTATTCTTTACATTGAGAAGATATTTGGACTTTCATCATCTTCTTTATTTTAATAGTAATTATATTTAGTATTTTCTTCTTTATTTAGTAGTAATTTATTCGCGTAATTTTTCTAAGAGATAATTTTTCAAGAAATATGTTGATATTTCTAATAATGTTAGAAACTAGTTATAACATATTATAACAAATGTTTGGTATATCCAATTTGATTAACTCTTAACTATTTTATAAAAAAAAAATATTCGTCACCTTCTTTGACAAAACATTATCGTTTATCCTCTATGGATATGAGGCTCTATATTGAAACAAATACAATAAAAAATTATTTATTTGGAACAGAAGCTGCCATCTTTATATTGTTTTAACGTTCTTTTAGACCATCATTTTTTTAGATAAAAATGAATTATAAAGTTAAAAAAATATTTATATTTTTTTTTTGGTATATATTTCATCCATTGCTATATATTTCATCAAAGTCATCTTTTAAGATGACGTTGAAAAATCTAATGCACAAGAGAACAATAGTTATACTCTTGAATAAATAATTTTTTCCCTGACTATTCATATTTTTTTTAACATGAGTAAAAAATGGTTATTATATCTCAATACGCCTCTAATACAAAAGGAATTATGCAATAACTGGCAATTAATATATACGTACGTTCTAAGAATAATGTACAGACATAAGAGAAAGATAGCTTTTGCATACAGCAATACATGCCGTGTCTAAAAAGTGAAATAAATAGTAACCAATCATTCCCATCTCTTTACTAGAAACAATATATGAGAGATGACCTGTTGTTTCTCTATAGCTATGTGCTTTGTGCAAAATGCACTATATATACTATATATTAATATACGTTCATGAAAATTATAGGAAAAAATTATAGTCTAATATGATAATGATATGATAAAATTTAAATTGAATAATTTAATTAAATAATAACAAAAAATTGAGAAATAAATCAGTTTATTTACAAAAGGAGAAAGAAAGAAAAAAATAAATTTGTTTTTTATTTTGCGTCAAATAAAATACGTGAAAATGTAAAAATATTTAATAAAGAAAATTGTAACAAATATTAGGCAGTAAGATTAATAATAATTTAACTAGTAACAAATTAAATAATAAACTATATGTGAAAACTGTAATAAAGGAAATATTTAATAAAAAAATTAAATGTCAAAATTATAATAAACATATTAAAATCTGTATTTATAATTCTAATAAGAAAACGAACTTGTAAAAAATATTACTTTTGCGAAAGTAACAATATCTTATGACAATCATATAATTCAATAAAAAACTATTCCTAAGAATTTTATTTGCATCTCTTCTAATAAGCACGAACTAAAAAGTTTCACAAGTTTTAGTGATTTTCAAGAGAGGCAGAGAGATCGAGACAGAGTGGAGAGGAGAAAAGAAAGGAAGAGAGCGAAAGAGATAACCGTTAATATCTCAATCATGAAGATTGTAGTTATTACGCGAATACCATGCTACAAAAAAAGAATACTCGAATGCGAAAATTACTTTTTATAATTTGTTGAAAGAATACTTTTATATGTTTAAAATTATTGTTTTGTAAGATGAGGAAGATTTTCATTATCGAAATCAAGATCGGTTGTGCAACATAGAAAAAATGCTGTTTATCCCATATTTTTATTTTTTCTTTATTACAGAATATTGGGATTGTTTGTTATTCATATCTTATCAAAAATAATAGAGTCACATAGAATTTCGAACTTAGCATAATAATGGAGAATTGATGACAAAATCAAGTAGAGATAATATCATAATCATAAGAAAAATTATTGTTTCGTTCATTCGATCTAATGTACTGATAATAGTTGAATATATTTACAATAGATATTACGTATTATATATTATATATATATATGTGTGTATATATTTTTTTTGTAACTATCAATATTATTTCATTATAATTTACTACACATCTCTATATAATATAAATATACGCGCGCATGTATAAATAATTATGAGTTACAAATACGTGATATCGTATACATAGTGTGTATGTTTTATGGATTAAATTTGTGAAGCTGTATTATGTAATAGCATACAACCAAATATGTATCATGTAGTGTACTGTATAGTGTACTATAGTACATAAGTAATTTCCTAAACATTCGAACACCCTTAAAGGAGATTATTCAAATTTAATAGGTATTATTATTAAATTTATAATACGTAAACATGTATCACAGAGTGATTCAAAACAAGTATTTGATATTGTCACAACAAATTCTGACAGATTGTTTGAGAGGCATTCTGAATAAAAAATGTATGAATATAAGTCTTACTCTCAATATTTACGTAATTATAAGTTTTGAAATTTTACTTTCGTAGTAAAATCACGTAAATGATAAGAAGTAATCTTTGAGAAATTAAAACAGGAGAATTTATTAATATCATTTATTTACAGTTCAATTCTTATAAACGTAATTTTACTATGATAACAGTAAAACTTTAAAACTTCTGTCATTATGTATATGTATGTAAATATGTAAAATGAGAATAATATCTATATTCTTATGATATTTTTTTTTCTTATTAAGACTGACTTTCCAAACAATCTGTCGAAGTTTGTTACACTCATTCTGAATCATCCTGTATATGAAATACTCCATAGCTTTGTACTATTCGGATTGGCGCATAAAGTGATATAACGTGGCGTGTCTTTTTATATTGATTGATTTGAATTTATTTCATGATGGGGATTGTTTCGTCTTCATCACTATTCATTTGAGTTGTATCCTTGGAGTCCTATCATTTCCTAAACATATCTTTCACGAAGTCGTTAGAAACCGATTACAGTAAACTTCTACAGTTCGTCTCCTTCCTTCTCTCTTTCTCTCTCTCTTCCTCTCTCACTTTTCCCTCCCTCTCCTTCTTCCCTCTCCGTTCTCGCGCTTTTCTCTCCTCCTTCCTTCCTTCCCTGCTATTCCTCCCCTCCTTCTCACTATATTTATCTATCTCCCTCTTATACTCTTTTCCTTTCTTCCTCTGTCCACGATTAACTCCCACTATACCACCCATAACTACGCCCTGCATAAACATGATTGTAGCGCAATTTGCAAATTATCAAAGAACGATGTCTATGGATACTCTGTGCTAACCAAGAATTTAGGCAATTCTTCTCAATTAATCTCATATGACAATCAATCAAATGAGTATTTTTCTTGATTTTTTTTTTTTGCTGAAGCTCTCTGGTCAGGATTTTTTATTTGTCTCGTAATGCTATCTTGGCACAGTTTGACCCTTCGACACGATGATGCTTTGTGTGTTTCCTTCTTTCTCTCTCTTGTATTCTATCTCTTGCTTCCTCTCTCTTTTCTCGAGAATATACCTTCGTTGATTTGAGGAAGTACTGACTTTCGTCGTGCGACTCGCGACGATAATTACACGAGGGAAACTGCCGTCGAAGGGTAACGCCCGTGCAGACATCGCAGCCGGTTTGTCCCCGGGAGCCTGCAAGCTCCATAATCGCATGCTTCCCGGAGTCGACCTAAGTGGAAACGAGAGCGACCGGGCCCTGAGGCCCGGCGCCGTTCGGAGCACAAAGACGACGTCGTCTGATCGTCGAGTTTAGCTCTCGTTTCGTACGGACATTGGTAAAAATAACCACGGCAGAGGAGCGATTTCGCGCGAAAAAAGCGCTCGATTTCAAGAACACACGACACTACTATCAACAACTATGCACGCCGGCCGGCCGCTGTGCACGTACTGAAGTACTGGACCCGAGCGCTGACAAGTAGAAAGAGAGAGAGAGAGAGAGAAATAGAGAGAGGGAGAGAGAGACTCATTCGGTCGACGCTCGCGACCTCGGTCGTGCTCGGCTATCTTCGTATCCTGTGCTTTGGCCCTGTTCGTCGCGCAGCCACGTTACTTCCCGGCGATCTCTCCCTCAGCCGCCCGATGTCGTCAATATACGACAAAGGCTTCCAAACGAGAGAGGCACTCACTACGCTGCGAGCTCTTGCCGCGAAAAGCTGGCGAACGACGTTCTGCCATTGCCGCGTAGAAAGGGAGGGAACCCGAGGAGCGCACGAGGAGAAAGGATCAATAACAGATCTCTCCCTACTCTCGTGAAACACAACGTAGGGTAAATGTGCGCGATGTACGCACGGCATTTACATATGGATAGACAGACAGGCGCACCCTGTCAACAGCTCATTTTCCTGGAGCAAATTTGCATGCTCCTTTTTGTTTTTGTAAGACAGATGGAAACACATTTATCTCACTGTCTTATGAGATTTTGCAAAATTACGAAAGCGACAGTAGTATAAATGACATTTAAAAAGATTTCTATTGTGAGCAGTGTTTTAAAGAATTTTTGTGAGAAATTTAGAAATTAAGTGTCGTGACATAATTTACATTCCTTTTGCAATTCCTAGGAATATATATATATTCCTTCGGAGGATATATATATATATATATATATATTCTTTTTGCAATATATATATATATATATATATACATATATTGTATATATAAAGAAATACAGAGGAGGAATGAGAGAGAGAGAGAGAGAGAGAGAGAGAGAGAAAGAAAAGAGGGAAGAAAAGGAGAGGAGATAAAAACTTATGAATGTCTAAATCAAATCTTTTCGAGAAATCAACAAAATGTTTAAACAAGTATATCATATTTGTTCACAAGTTATGAAAAATACACATTATACAAGTACATGAATTCGTATGAAAGTAGTTGATTCATTGTCGATGGGTTTCTGAATCAGCTTAAAAAAGCTTAGATCGTAAAACGATTAATTAGAAAAATTTGCTCTTTTTAAAAATATAATATTATCTGTTTCTCTCATCTGTTCTTATCTAGTATGGTTCTTTCATCTGTTTCAACTCATATAGTATTGATGTTATAATTTAAGAAAGAATAGATTCATTTGTCAGTGTTTTCAGTTGATACATTAATTATTTGATCATACTATTAATTATATATGATTTCTAGTAGAAGCTATTTACTGGGGAAATTAATTTTTAATTCGTTCTCACTTATCAATATCAATCGAAAAAGGTCACATAGATTTTTTTTTAGAAGGATCTTGGAGTCGCATCTGTTTTACCTACTAAATGCGATTATTTTTCAGCACTTTATTTTTCTAATTGCAATTTACATAGATTTAATAATCCTTTTTCATAAAGATTTAAATAAAGTAATTTCAATTTTTGGAGAAAAAATTTTTTTAATAATAGTCCTTTTTTTACATTGATGAAAGGCTAATGCCTATGACACGCTTAATCGGGTTTAATAACATCTGTAGTTATGAAATTAGCCAATCATAGCTGTTTCTCAGAAGAACAGAACCACTGTGATTGGCCAGTTTCATAAACTCGATTAAGAGTGTTATGTAAATGTAATCTATTTTCCATGAGTCATATTAACATGTGTTATAAGAATAAATCATTATAATTATTAAGATTTCATTATTGCTACTTAAAGCTTCAATTTGTAGAATCGATATTCGTGATATTCTAGAAAGAATATCTGCGTTAGTATTTCGCCTTCTATTTTATGTAAAATTTCATATTCATCGCATTAAAAGTAAAGTTTTAACGTTAAAAAGCAAAGTTAATGATTTATGATTAGAGATTATTTTGAATCTTTAACCATATAAACATAACCGAAAACATTTCATTGTTCAAATGCATAATAGCTAAAATAATAGCTTCTTTTCCATGATGTTATAATTAATATAATTCCACTAAGTATTCCGTAAGTATAAGAGATTGAAAGATATTTCTATCTTTTCTTGTGATATTATACACTGTAGCAATTCCTTCATCTCTGATACTCATAGTCAGTATAAATTCTTAAAGATATTACAAATTAGAAAATTGTTCGCTTAATAATTTTTATAAATAGTTCTCGCACTTAAATTTGGCGGGATTTAAAAATCCTCGCGCATGCTCACAGACGAGCACCAATAGCACACGCGAGAAGTGAATTAAAAAAACAAGACCGCGTCTTTTGTCTTCGTTAATTCTCAACAAGTCGTTCGTTTTTCAATTTTCGTTTTCATTCTATCAATTCGTTCTTCTAACCGATACATCATAACAGGTTATCAGTCCAGTGAACACGTAGTGCTTGATAGATGAAGTGCAACGAATGTAACATAAAAGCACACGGCACGTGAGTTAGTCATCAGAAAGATAGATATTTATCGTTATTCCGAATTTACGGTAGAATGGAAAGTATTTCGCATTTTTTTTTATATTTCAGTGATATGATCAATGCGAAATGTCATAAAGTGATAATGGAAAAAAGTATGGAAATTCCGTGATGCTCATCGTGTGCGACTTGCGAAATACAGTGGAATCGAAAGATCAGAAGCCGGTCGAGAAGTGCAATATCAGATATGTAGATGTTTTATATTCCTGCATTAGCTGCGTTAGAATTCTCTTTCTCACTTTCGCCAAATATCAAGCATATATCTATCTTGTTTTAAGTTCCAAAAGTGTATACTACAGTTCAGCCACAGAAAAGAGACTTTATATTTGTTCGTGTTGCTTGAAATTCTGAAAAAACTTTTGCACTTAAAATGAGATAAATATATATTCTGGCATTGAAGAGAGAGAAAGCGAAGATGCAAAAAGTACAAACAATACGCGAATAGATTTGATCCGAAAAAACGTGAAGACGCTGATTAGTTTACTGTGGAACTCGAGCAAATGCAATTATCGTTATTCAAATGATATCTTAAAATTAAAGAAATCTATCAAAAAACGGGTACTATGAGCACTGTTAATGCTTGATATTGCTTCCTGAGGTCAGGAAAAGGAAAGTCATGAAAATTTATTTAATGACAAAGACATTTTTTTTAAATTTACATGTTTAAATTTAGCATTATGACATCGCTGTTCATGAACCGGAAAATTAAAAATACTTTCCTTATATAATTTACAACTATCTATTGAGACCATCAATTGAGACTAGTTAAAACTGAATTGGTTTAACCGTTGCTGAAATATAAAAATGTTAAAACCACTTATCTCGTGTAAATATATATGTATAATTAATTATATTAATTATATCTCGCTGCGATTCCACGCTAATTTCGTTATGCGTGAATTTAGCGACACTAGAATTTAGAGACACTACTATGTCTTATGACGCTTAGCTTTTGATACTTAATAATATATTTCAAGAAGAAATAAATTTGTGTTGGATATTTAGCCTTATGACTAGGATAAGATATCACGGCGATTTTTCTTTGAATATAAGCTTTATATTGATTGTAAAAACTTTAAATTTTCAAAAATAGTAAATATTTATATAAATATAACATTTTCAAAAGATTTAACGCACAATTGTTCCTTTATTTTGATTTATGCTACATTTCCAAAAATTCATCAAAATGGATAAAGAGAAGTTATTTACAAGCCTTTTTGTTAGTTTTTTTTTAGAATTTTTTACTCAATATGACAAGTGTTAACTTTCTCTAAATCTTAAACCATTTTTTTTTAATATTTCATACACATATAAGTACATGAACAAACAATTCATTCATGACATTCGATTTCTCCAAGTTGAGTTATTCGTCAAAAAGCGAAAATGTAAATTGTAAACATATATACATATATACATTTAACATTTTCAAGCAGGTTTGAATAAAAATATCTTTAAACATGAATGTAAAATAGATATCTGCGGATATATTTTTGGATATTTGTGCTGCATGATATTTAAACGACTCACCGAGTAGGAATTGATTTCGTCATACATGATTACCCAGTGGCGGGTGTCACGATGGCCCCCAAAAGACAAACACGTGGAGTACGGAATCATAGTGGCGAGAAAGAGAAAGGAGGGGTGAGAAGGGAAGGAAAGGAAGGCAGAAAGAGAGAGAAAGAGAAAGGGTAAGGATTGCTTTCACCGCTGTTGCTGCGGTGATGATAAGCGTCGATGGTCGGGATCGTAACGTTGAGCTTCTTTGGTAATCTCGCTAGCAACGACGACAGTGACGCTGACAGCAGCAGTAGCGATAGTGGCGGCGTCAACAAAGACGACAATGATGATGCTGATGACGACGACAACGGTAACAATGTCTACCATGAACGGCGCTCGCACCGGACTAGGGAGAAGAATTTATGAAAGAAAACAACGATGGGACGCGACACCGGCGACAGCGGGCGGCCACGAGACCTCAACGCAACCAGAAAATCGCGACCCCTCATTGGCCGTAGCGCGTACAATTGTTATACAGCCGCTTGATGGTCGACGCGCGCAAACGCGTTCTGAAGATCAATGAGAGTTGATGCCGAAGACGCGCGGCGAATATGGCGTGGCGCGTCCGGAACAATTTCATATTTGAACAAACAGGAATAAACGAAAATTAAATGATTATGAGAATGCATTTGTTACTCGCTAACGTCGATTGACAAAAAAACTGAATTTGATTTTAACAAAAAATTAAAAATTTTTAGATTAATAATATATAAATATATGGTAGTAATGTAAATTTTATTTTATTTAAAAAAAAATGGTACTCGGAAATATTTGATATATTTATGTATATAATTACTTGCAAAATTTTAATAATCAGAAATTTCAAAGTACTTTTCGGTAGAGAGGCTCTATATAATAAATAATAATAGAAATCAGCGCTTTTGTGCTGATTAGATTATATTTTTAGATCTAGAGGAATAGTCCTATCTCTACAAAGTAAATTTCTAACAATTGCAAAGTAAACTATTAAATGCGCCCAATATTGACGAATTTAACAATTACACAAACAGATAATATAATCTATCCGATCAAAGTTATATACATAAAGGAAACAATTATAAATTTTAAGTAGAATGATATTAATGACATTTTTATGTTGTACAATACTTAAAAAATAAGAAAATCATTAATTGTTAATACAAGTATCATTATTAATCATATAAATATTGAGGAAGTTCATCAAACATCATATCTATTCTATAACATAACCATATGACATAGAGCTTTTAGTCTATTTTTTAAATGTTCACATTATGTTAAAATTAAAATATGTATGTACCATATAAGCTAAGTAGCAAGTAGATATTTATCGACAATTGACGTCAAATATCATCATACGTAAATGTCATTTTGACGTCAGAATAACGACAAATGACGTTAGTTTACTAATTGGGAACAGTATTGTGTAAATTATAGCGAATTTGATTGGATGCACTTAGTGCGCATTAATGCATGTTAAAGCCGTCGTACATAAATTGATGTAAAAATATGTTTAATATAAATTACAGAAATGAAAGTACTTCCCATCACATTAAAAACGCTACGAATTAATTCCAACACCTAATAGATTGAAACATAAAATCCTCAATGTATTTTATTATACTGTTAAGTAAAATCTGTATTTTATAATTCTAAATATTTGCATTTTACTTTTAAGTTAGTGCACAGAACTTTAGTTTTATTTAATTTAGTCATATAAATTTCAGCTGCGTTTAATTTGGACGCTCATGGCTTATGCTATAAATGCTCATAATAATCATTCATTAAACGTAAAACAAAGATAGAATGAACATTGATAGCGTTCAAATTGGAGACTTCTGATGACTTCAAATTGTTGACATCTCTTTAGAGAGTCTTTATTCAAAATTAATCTCTTTTCTGCCGAGCCTTAATTTTGAGCTTCTTTAAAAATAATTATTTTATGCAATCCTGAAAGCGATACTATCGATTATACATATTATAATTATAATGCAATTTTTTCTGTATTTTAATGGTAAAAATATGAATTTATAGTTCACACTTATTCTGATGTCTCCATAATCTCTCCCTGACTCCCTGCTGTGATGGAATTTCGATTCCGGGACTTCTAAGCAACACAGCAGGATGTCGCATGCTCCTATTTCCTCCAACCGTAGCTCCTATTCACTCAAACACACTTGTTACATAGACGTTAGAGTGAGTAGGAATTATGGTAGAACATACGTGACAAACCTAGCGTTTGTTAACCTCCCTTCCACTTTTCTCCAAGCGAGCGAAACAGCGAGAGAATGTGGCACTACAGTAAAAGAATTTTCGCGATCTTTCGTTTGCTGTGCATTGTTGAGAGAAAATAGAGGAAAGTAGAGGGGCTAAGACGCTGTAGTGTTCTAACCCAGATCACTGATTGGAGTCCACGCTGCGATTTTCCCCCTCTACTCGTTCTGTCCTTGTCTTCAACGTTCTATCCTTCTCGCCTTCATCAAAAGCGAGAAGAGAGGGAAATTGCTGACGTCATGGCGTCACTAGCGTCCATTGCCCGGGGTCGAAATCCTAACGTAGCGCATCTTTGGCGTTGTTTGCTGCTGCCTGCCGAGGCGTTGTGACGCTACCTTGCTTAACCTACGAAAAGATTCGTTAAAAGAGAACGAAACGGAAGAGGAAATTAAGTGATGGTGAAAATTGTGAATATAAACTGAGAATAATATTTGTATGTGTCATACAAATCTTTTCACATTAAAAAGTGAATTTTTCTTGATAATTCTAACTACGTATTAATATATTACGTAGCAGTGTATTATCTTACTGTGGACATTTTATCTAACATTGTTATAAACACGATGGGAGGTGGAGATTTGGTAAGTGTGTGTTATAATTAAATGTGTTATAATTAAAAAATTAATTACAAAGTGTAAAATTTGCCGTAAGTGAAAAATTTTCTAATACGCATATAAATTTTCATAGAATTTGAAAAAGTCATGGCATCCATCTACCATGAAGAACATTGAGAAAGTAAGGAAGGCGGAGCAGCAAAATGATCAAGAGAATAAGCGGATAGCAGAGTTGAAAAAGGAAATTGAAATGGAGAAAGATTTGGAAGACATAAAAAAATATGCTATAGAACAAGGTGTAATAGAGAAAAAGGATGATATGAAATTAGACTGGATGTATAAAGGGCCAAATCAAATGGTTGACAGAGAGGAGTATTTGTTAGGAAGACCAGTTGACAAAGCTTTTGAGCAAATGCAACAGGCGGAAAAAGATTCAGAGATGAATAGAATGCCAAAAAATCATGTTGAATATGGTAAGTTAGATACAGTAGAGGATAATTTATGTTAAAAGAGAATTTTTTTTGTACGAAGTTCTATTTTCAAAAAAATTTATTTGGAAAATTTATTAGATACACATAGAATTGAATAAAACTTAGTTTTTAGATATATTTATGAGAGATCCTCATATTTTCTTAGAGAAAGTAGAAAATAAAACAGAGAGAAATTATATATATTGATATATGTTGTTAAGGTCACAGTCCTGTAATAGATTTTAGCCATCGCTTGTTATTCGTTAATAACAAAAAATTTTAAAATTAACATGTTATTTCTGTTACATGCAATTTGGAACTACTTCATACTCTTCTCTGTTTAATGACTTTCTACGCGAAGCAAGATTTACTCTATACCTACCCTCCCCCCGCCTAGTACCATACGATTTTTTTCATGAGAAACGATGAAGGAGCATGCTAAAAATTGCCTAAAGCGTTGCAGGTAAAAATAAGTGTCGTTCGAAAGGTCTCGATGAATAGAGCGAAGAGTACAATGAGTAGAAAGTGTGTCCTTCATGAAGAAATCCAGAGCTTTCAAGTATCGTGCAGAGGTCCAAAAAGATCTGATAACTGTTTATTTACAAAAGAGCCTTTTATGACCCATAACTCATGAAGGACACACTTAACAAATTTTCAATAGCCTTTGTGCTCATTGGAAACTTTGATCTATTCATCGAGACCTTTTGAATGACATCTGTTTTGACTTGCCATATGTTAGAAAGTTTTCCATAGAAATTTTTGACATCTTCCTTTGTTAATAATTACGTCGCTTTGTATGAAAAGTCGAACGCTCCTAAGCAGATGTAATGAATGGATCTCGCTTTATCCTATTTTGATATAAAAAATATAAATTATATAGCAGAGTATATATGTAGAATATATAATCAAATATATATATATATTTTGTATTAAAAAATTATGTTCTATGTTTGTTTCGTTAATAACTTGTTAATGAATAACAAGCAATGGTTAAAACTTATTGGAGGTCACTCAGAGTTATGATCTTGACCAACATATATCAAGGTCATCGGGTTGAGTCCCCTGTATTACACAATTACATCTGATCTAATATAATGTAGTATTTCAAAATTTTCAATTTTTAAAATAACAAGAAAATTCCTAAAAATTAAGTTATAAAATTTGTCATTTTTCATTCCAAGCATTGATTTTGTAAGATTTTCTTATTAGAAAAATTTGGATTATTGAATATTGAGATATTTTCTGTATATGTGCGTGCACTTGTATTTATATATATATATATACATAGATACACATGTTAGATGTTATATTATATATATA